GTTTCTTTGTTTTTCTGCTAGTAATGTAAGGAAAGCAGGCCGAAATCAAATGCTTTTCTTCAAACCTGGTCCATTATTCCCTCCTTCTCTTTCTCTCATCTCTGAAATGGAGATGGGTCTTACAATCATGCCAGAGTGTAATTGGCAGCATTTTTTCTCTTAGCGATACTTAAAACAATGGTATACCTTGTAATCAGTGTCCTCTTAGATAAGGTCAATTCAGGACTTTTTTTTGTCCAAAGCCACAGAGATAGACAAAGATCACAAAGATGCAGATACTCATGGTTAGTCGTTGTTCGCAGAGGATTGAAGTAGGGCATATTTAACTTTTAGAGGAAGTCTGTTTTCAGAATATGCTGAGCATACGAGCATCACTGGGTCTGGGATCAAGGCTTTTCAGCTAGGGGGGACCAAGGCCTCTGGATGGCCAAGGGTACAGAGACCAGTGCCACTGGTGGAGCTAAAAGAGTGGCAGCCAAGGGTTCTCTTTGCAACGTCACGCTTTCCTCCCTTGCCATTATCATTTCCGTTAAAGCCACCTTCATTTCCTGTTTCCTGGACCTTATTAACGTGTCGTGGACTTATTACGTACCTGTCGCTGTGCTGGGGAAAGCAACCCTGAAAAAGGGGACATGGTTTTGGCCAGTTGAAAGAATCGGTGCTGGTAGTTTGGGAGTTGCTGAATTAATATACTCTAATGGGAGGAAAAAAGATTTAAGGGCAGTACGGAGTAAACACCGTCCCAGAGGTAAGCAAAAGTGCTCTCGGAGCAAAGAGAAAGGGACAATGAAAGAAATCTAGGGAGTCAAGGAAAACTTGCAGCAGAGATAATGTTCGATTTTGGCTGTGAAGTTTAAGTGAGAGTTCATCATCTAGAGAGGTGGCAGGGTGGGTGGTGTCATTCTAGACAGAAATTAGTATGTGTAAAAGCATTAAGGTTTGAAGAACGTTTTCTGAGAATAAAAGGAGGAATTTATATGGTGGAAAGGGAAGGTGGGTGATGAGCCGGAAAAAGCAGGTTGCACCTAGTTGGTTTTGCCGGGTTTGGAAAGTGAAGGAGTTTTGGGATTCTGATTCAGCTCACCTTTATTTGACACCTACAGTGCGCTAGGGTTTCACATGTATTATCTAATTATGACACCAACTTCATGTGATATTTATCCCCACTTTACAGCTAAGAAAATGGAGTCTCGTGGAGATTACACAACTCGCTTAGATTCACGTACATAACTGGTATTACAAGAAGGATACCTCCCGTTGATAGTTGATGACCAGGTGGGAAAGGAATCTGAAGGCTTGCAGGGGCATTTCTTAGCATTTAGGAATAACTAAATGTTATTTAAACTAGTTAAATCAGAGTCAGGCGGTATCTGTGGTTTCTGATAATCAGGTAACATGGTATCTAGAAAACTATATTGATAATCACCTGAAATGAAGAGGGTTGGTAGTGTTTTCATAGACTTGTTTAAGTGGTCAGGAATGCATTATTATTTCAACATCTTTATAAATGTCCACGTGAAAGAATTCAGACTCAGGCCAGCCATGTGGAATTGCTCGGCCCCTCGCCGGTGGTGGTGTGCAGCTGCTCAGTAGCTGCTGCATCGGAATCTAGGCAGTGTGGGAGGGGCCTCAGAAGTTAGCATCTTCACATATACATTAATCCAGCTGGGGCAGCAGTCACTGGTTTTGAATGCCAGACTCTTACAGAAATAGCTTTGTTTTAGTTTGCAGGTTCTGACTTTAAACAGGTTCAGAAATTCACATGATTAGCTAAGATTTTATTCTAGGAAGCAAAGCAAAAAAAACCCCACTGCTGTGAAAACTTTTTAGAAAGAAAAATATATATAAACACCAGAAGCCACAGTCGGAAGGCATTATTCTTCCTCGCTCCTCCGATTCTTGTCCTGCTGGAAAATGCTACTTGAATACATCAGTGTACTTTACTATATGTTAAATTGCCTTTCTGAGAGCTTTTTCCTCTAGTGCTTCCAAAACTGTGCAGCGTGAGAGGAGGGTGTGGGAGACAGGAGGTCAGCCAGCCTAAAACCCTTTTGCCTACCTCTATTTTCCGCAACCTTTTTCTCCTCAACGCTGACAACCAACTGATTTCTATAAGAGACAGATACTGGAGCTGCTCAACCAATTGAGAATTTACTCCTGTGTTCCTTGTGGAGGACTCGACGCCTCCTCCTCTCCCACCTTCTCTCGCTCTCATTGTTTCTGAACATCTAGCAGGTTGTAGAGCTCAAATTTGAATTCAGGCCTATTTTCCAAAACTCACGCTCTTTCCACTTCAGTTCGCTGCCCCTGAGAGCTCCTGCCCAAATGAAAGACAGTTGAGTTGCCATCTGACTTATCGTCATCATGGTAGAATTGTCTCTTTTCAAGGAAGTTTAATAAAAGGAAGAAACTGTTAATGTCAAGAAATAGATCAACACAGAGTAACCTAATATTCACTATCAATACCTCCCCATTTCTCTCTCTTTTCTTTTTTTAGCTGAGCCATCTTGCCACCTGTTGGCAGTTCAGCGGCAGCTCAGCTCGGGCCAGGACTTGAACCGCTGTTGCTCAGAGCTTGCACTCCTGAGCGAGCTCTTAACCAACTGAGCCACTTGGCCGGCCCTTCCCCATTTCTCAAAGAACCCTTCTTTCCTTATCGGTGACCCTAAATGCTTTGCTTCAATAAAGCAGGGCTTTCTTCACCTGCCCCCCACTTTTTCTCCTGAATAGTTGCCAGGCTTTGGGATACAAGTCAAGAGTAGTATAGTCATTAAATTTCCATTATCATCTACCTTGTTAAACTGGTTCTAATGAGGAATTATTTTGCAGATTCCAAATGTTCCAGAGCTGGATTTAATAATGACATTCATTTGATTCTATTAATTGATTTATTTTAAAATTAGATTTAAAAATTCTCTATTTGACCCTTACTTTGAATACCAGTTTTGGAATATAGATCCAAAATCTAATTCAGCTCATTAAGCATGTTGTTGGGGCAAACATCATGAAATTTCTTTTTATTTTAGGGGATGGAAGATTTATTTTCTTATTTATAATGTAATTGATACATACAGAAGGATATTGGAACATATATCTAACTTATGAAGCATAAATGAACATGTATGAATCCACTTAGAGTTTACCAATTTGGCTTAAAAATTAGAAAATTTAAGTATCCCTGAGGCTTCCTGTGCGTTTTCCCAGATCATATTCCCCACCGCCCCTCCCAGAAATAAGCACTCTAGAATTTTGTTTATTCTTCCCTAACTTTTATTAACCTTTATCTTTTTGCCTGTGGAAAAAACGTTGTTTTTCATGTTTATTACCATTTCACCTTAACCTTGAATGAATGACTGTCCTCAAACTAGAATTTAGCACATTATATTGTACACTCACGTATATGTCTAAGTATAGTCTGAATATAGTTGATTTAAATGCATATGTAACCAAACTCGGTAATAAGGTTTGGGCCCAGGCAGTATAGAGCTGTGTTTACAAAATCTTACAAAATCAGCTCTTTCATTTGACTGAACATGTACAATCCCTGTGGTAGATGATTTCTCCGTATTGCATCGTCTTTTCCCATGTCACTTTTGTGGATTACTCCCCATGCATTTATCAAATAGAAAGAGGAAAAAAAATCACTCGCGAATATCACAACTGTGTGCTGTGTTCTCTGACTTTGCTAGCTATATTTAATCACGTGTTTATAAAAGCCAAATTAGTTTTCAAACTTTATATATTGTTAAAGTACATGGTCTTTTGGTTTAATTTTTTAATGATGTTTATCATTCAGAAGGGTCATAGAGTAATTATGCATTTAAATTGTAATATCCTTTACACAGTATTGGAGAGAACATGTTCCCATAACATTTTTTGATAAATATTTTATATTTATTTGTTTGCCTATATACTCAGTATTCAGCGTGATGACACTAAATACGTTTTGAAAAAACAAAACTAGCTATTATGTAGCAGTAAAGTCACCATAAGTCACCACTATTATATATAAGGCAGTTTGGATCAAAGATCAATTATCCAAGGGATATATATATATATATCTTATTAGATAAGATTTTGAAGAAAGATATTCCCTTGAATTTGTGGAATTTACTTAAATGCCATCAGGGTGCAAATCTAGCTTTTTAACCCCATAAGGTCCTTCCCTAATTATTTATAGAATGCTGTCTGTCTTCCTATGAAGGATAAATTCAGAAGTATTGTAGGAACTGAAAATGAAGAGAGCTCTTTCTCCTTTTGCAGTTTGAATTAAAGAAGACCAATGGGGACTGAGAAACTAGCCTAACAAATACATTAACTCTTGTCATTGATATGCTCTGTCTCATTCAGTTTGGCTTGTAACAGGCAAAGCCGGGACTTAGCAAGGACATCCCCAGCAGCCCGTTAGAAGTGGTCGTTATTAGGATATAACTAAAGTGATATGCACAACCAGTTATATGCACAATAAGAGATCCAGTAAAGAAGATGTTTGATTATAAGCTGAAATATGAGTAGTATCAATATAATTAAGATCCTTGATTGAATTTTCAAAAATTCTTACTGTGGAATAAATCTTAACGGTTTGGCGGGATGAAAGATGCAGGAATGCTCAGAAACTAAAGTCACTGAACCTTGTGTTCTGATATCTCCTAGGATTATTTGGCCTACTGTATGTATCACAGAGTCAGAGTTATATCTGTATCATAGTCCTAAGCTTTTAAAACATATCTCTTTTCTTGGTGTACCAGGCTATGTCTTCAAACATTAAGGATTCCTTAGTGTGCAACTTTATTCAGGGTATATGTGAACTCTTCTACGTCATTCACATATATTAGCAAACCAGGCTTTAATCAAAACTTTTTACTATTGAGCTTCTTTGTCTAATATTTTCTTTTTACTCTTTCAGACATGCTTTATTAAAACTTTGCTTTGATTGCACCAATTAGTTTTTTAAAAAACACCCTGATTAGTTTCTTTACAAATGTTACTGTTTTTGTTAGGATGGACGTTTGAAGCCAGGAGATCAACTTGTCTCAATAAACAAGGAATCTATGATTGGAGTGTCATTTGAAGAAGCAAAAAGCATAATTACCAGAGCCAAATTGAGGTAACTGTCCTATCCATAAGATAAAATGAGTCATTTAGCATGTCTCATTAAAATACTTAAGATGTCTTAAATACTTTAGACCGTAAAAGAAGTATTTTAAAAATAATATATAAAACATTATCTTAGAATTCAATTGTGCTAATATCCATAAAGCGATTTCTTTTTTAATGCTAGGTCAGAACCTGCTTGGGAGATAGCATTCATAAGACAGAAATCTGATGGCAGTCATCCAGAAAATCCGTCATACACATCCCTTTTACAAACTTCAGGGGACTATGACCCTCAAGCCTCAACGTTTAGTCTTCTTTCTCCTTCTGAAATGCTAATTCCAAAGATCTCATCCACTCCCAAACCTACAGATGCCGTTTCACCTTCTTTTAAGATAAATGAGGTAATTGTAAACTTCTGTTTGTTTATGCAGTCCATACGTCCCCTATATGTTTTTATATTTGTTATGTACATACAGCATTATAATTTTGGTAATGCAGTTTGTTAATAAACTGATACTGCCTTGAAAGACTGTTCTCCTTTTTTTTCTGTTAAGATTTTTATCCTGCGTTGTCAGTAAATATGATTTTTTAAGTCAGTGTGTCCTTTGCACAGAAAATCATGATCAGGAGTGGCATCACAAAGATATGCCTAGATGTCACTCAAAGCTACATTAGGAATGTCATATTTATTTTCTGACAGTCTTCAATATGGTCTAATTCATTATCATTTCTGTTTTCTGCTTGACTGGAGACAGGCAGTCTTCCTTTCTGTTCCTTAGATTCTTTCCTACACAGTGAGGCTAATCTTAACCATACAGTGTAGGTGGGTATTGTTCCCTCACGTGTGTGTGCTAGAATCTGGTTCACCCTCGTAAAGTCACACAAGAGGGAGTGTTTCTACATCAAAATAAATACAATGAATAACTAATTGCCACAGTACCCTAACAAATCAAAGTTAGGAAATACGGCATATATTTTTTAAATCCGTGTTAGCTGTAAAGTAAAACAGGAAACTCAGGTAGGCTTTCAGCTGGTAGAATAAAATTTGTCGAAGGTAACTTCAGTTTCAGGTCCATGCTAATCAGATACAGAGTATAAAATTTTCTGTCAGTCCTTCATACATTTTCATTTGGGGTTATAATTCCTTTTCAAAGACAAGGTACATGGCCTTATATTTTGTTGTCCTTCGGTGGTAGAGCTGAAAGCAGTTGTTACCTTTAATTCTGAATTGCTTTGTTCGAAGATGAATATACAAAAATTTTAGAGGTTTTATATTTTTTGGACTATTGCTTTAATCACTTTAACCACTCTTTTTATGTTGACATGAGCTTCTAGTCTGGTCTTTGACCTACTTTAGAAAATGACATTTCATGTTTCTCATTTTCTTTCATAGTTAAAAACTGGATACAAGAAAACAGAACAGACTCCAATTGCGTCTTCGGACAACAGCCCTACGGATATGTCTAATTTAGGTAAATGGACATTTAATTCCTCTTTCCTGTTATTTTTTTCAATTACTCTCTCTCATTGAGGAGTACGTAATGTGACTTAATAGACTTTAAAGATGGATGTATTATGCCGTTTTTCCATCAATGAATAAAAGAGAAAAATGAATGTATTGTGCAGTGGTCCCTGTTAGATTATGACTTTTATTGGAAATTTTCCTGAACAAAGGGTTGAAATTTTCAAGGATACATTATCATCACAGTGTCTATGAAGCTGTAATAATCAACGAACTGTTGAAACCAAGTAATGAAAATTCTTCTATAAATCAGGATTAGGTTGCCTTGCCCTTTCAGTGAAATACTGATGAGGTATATTAAATGCACCTGTCAGACAAATTATAGAAGGCAGCATACCTTAAGAAATATGTTTTGGGTTTTTTGGAAGAGATTGTACAGCTGTAAATTAGAAAGGGCATCAGTATTGTGAATTCAGTAGTATTGGTTTTTAATTGCCATGAAATGATTTACTGACTGTTTAAAACAATAAAGGATTATGTAAGCAACCCATAAAAAAGGGATTTTTATCAAGTTTTAAAGTTTATATTGGCTCAAATATGAAGAAAAATCCCTCCCCTTAAAGTATCTCCCAAAGCGAATACAATAATTTAAAAAACTGTACTTATAGAAAGGAAAAGTTAATTATGTATGTCTAAATTATAATGCAAATTACCAGTGTATTTCAATGTTTAATAGCATTATCTAGATCAGAATTGCAAAATAAAGAAGAGATAGTATAAATTACATAATGTCTCAGTCCGTTTGGGCTACTGTAACAAAATACCACAGACTGGGTAGCTTATAAACAACAAATATTTATTTCTCTGAGTTCTGGAGGCTGGAAGTCCAGGGTCATGGTGCCAGTCTGGTCCCTGTGAGAGCCTTTTTCTGGTTGCCAACTTTTCATCGTATCTTCACATGGTGGGAAGGGGCTAGTGAATGCTGTGGGGGTGTCTTTTATAAGAGCACTAATCCTATTCACGAGGACTCCACCCTCATGGCCTAAGCTCCTCCCAAAGGCTCCACCTTCTAATACCATCATCATTTCAACATATGAATTCTGTGGGGACACAAACATTTAAACAGTAGCATATAACTACCATACTTAACAGGAATTTACGATCGATTCCATAGTAGTTTTCTATGATTTGGAGCAGTATTTACAAATGGGGTAGTAGCAATCTTTAGCCATATATACGTAATACACCTTTTTACTTAGTGGGATTAGTTGACTCATGAAAACTTTATTAGCTTTGTTCCCTTTACAGAATTAATTATCATTCTCTTGATACATTGTTTTTATTTTAAACGGGGAACCCATGTGAGAAAAAGATAAATGAAAGCAGAAAACAATGGTGAGGAGACATTTATGCAAGATGTTTGTAATTTTGAAAGGAATTGAACTACTCGGTGCCTCTCTTGGCCTTTTATTTATTCAGTAAGCATTTACTGTATATGCCATATGTGTAGAAAACATAGTTCAGTAGGAATTATTGAGGAATTAGGATATTTTTCTGTGCGGTATTAAATAATATATTGTGAAATAAACCATGGGGTTAAAAAGCTTTCATTATTCAGATAAGAAAAAGAAGTGTGTGTGTGTGTGCGTGTGCATGTGTGTGTATGGTCTATTTAATCGAATAACTTCTGTTTGCAGTATTCTGTGTTAACTAGAGCAGGGTGTGGGTGGTTTTTGTACTCGAAGGAGCATACTCTCTTGTGGATGAATTACACATTTGAAAACTAGTGTAAAGCCATGAACAAAGCAGATTAAGAAGAAAGTAGTTAAGTGGCTTGAGTGATGTAGGGAAGGCACAGGCTTACTCACGAGGCTCTGAATGGGAACTTAGAGGTTCAAATCTTTACTCCCAACTTATTAGCTATGTAACCGTGAAATAGTTGCGTCATGGGATTGCTATGAGTATTAAACAAGATCATGCATGTCAGGCTCTTAGCCTGTCATCGGTACACAGCACATGCTCAGCAAATTTGCTATTATTATTATTATTATTATTATTATCATTATTATTATTACAGAACCTGCAGACTAGACCGTAGCTCAGATAATATTTCCAAAGGTATGTTTTTAGAGCAGCAGTGAAAGCTTTCATCCTTTAATCCACTTTTGTTTCCTCCCCTTACCCCCAAAGGTAGTATGTATTAAAGGATTTGTCACAATATGCAGAATTTCTTGGCAGGAGTCAGGTATCATCCAGATCTTAAAGGAGGTGGTAAACATCAATTGATAGATGAAGGCAGGAGATCATCTAGGTGAAGGCAGCACCATGAGCAAAAGCAAAGAAATAAGGATGAGCTAGAAGTCAGGTGACCCTAGGCAGCAGATCTGAATAGAGCAGAGGGATCCTGGAGGAATGAAAACACCAAGGTCAATTTACATCAGTGACTCTAAGAAATGATGCTAATAGAAAAGTAATTTAATGAAGACTATATTTAAGTGGGTAAGCTGTATGTATGTAAAATAAATGTTAAAATGCCATTAAATTGGAACATTTTTCTAGGGTAGAAATAGCACTGACTTAGTCACATTTTCTTCCTTCCACATAAATGTAGTACGCCTGATGTTTCTGAGAAGGAAAAAGCAGTCAACTCTAAATTATCTCTAAGTGGCTTACATACATTGTGATGTGTCTGTTGTCAGTAGTTAATTATAGATTGTTCCAAATTAGATCCTTAGCCATGACCTTTAGCCTCCTTCAGCCAGTTAGTATTTATTCAAAAAAATAAATGAGGTTTTTTTTGTTTGTTTTTGTTTTTTTTAGCTCAGCCATCCTGCCACCTGTTGGCAGCTCAGCTCGGGCCGGGAATCGAACCAGCAACCCTGTTGCTCAGAGCTCGCATTCTTGAGCGAGCTCTTTAACCAACTGAGCCACTCAGCCATCCCTGAAAAAAATAAATGAGTTTTAATGTTAACCTCAACAAAAATAAACTAAATGAGGCAAGTCTACCCCAGTTCCCATCTCAGAATCATTCCAAAGTGTAAAACTGGTTAGAATTTTTAAAATCCACATAATAGTTGAATATGTTTTTAAAACTATTCTATTATATACGTTTCTTATGTTAGAGTCCAGAGTTGTTCACTGTTGCCATAAGGTGAACAGCACATGAGCCTGTGAGCAAGCTAAAAGCACACTACAGACATGACTAAGGAAATCAGCAAAGAATCATCGCATGAAGAAATACTGTCATTAACTCTAGAGTAACACAAGCCCACAGTAAGGTTTTTTGTAATTGAAGCAAAGTAGTGATAGGTGAAAATGTCCAGGGAGAGTTCATGGTATTAACCAAATGGTATTGATCCTTCCCTTATAAAACATTCCCTTTCTTCAACTAAGAAGAGAAGACCCAAAAGTATAATAAGCCGTACTTTGAAAAGTCTCACTCCCTCAGAAAGGAGCAAATATGGAACTTAGGCTGGAATTGAGAGATGCCACAGGCAAATGAGGAAAGCTGTGTATGAGGGCCTTTTCGGGTCAAGCTACTCAGAGTTACCAAAGCATTCCGGATTTATGGACAGATAGATCCCCCTAAGGTTCTGGCTCAAAAGTAAAGATTTAGGGGAAGGTTGGCTGAAAGAATGTGAGATTTTGTTTAGCCATGATTGCATATTATTAAGTGGAGGGTTGGTATAATTTTACATGAAATACTGTGTCTCTGTTAATAGTCACAATACTTCCTTGCTACACACTTACTACTTGACCTGAGTAATTCACGCCCAGGATTAGTCTTGGTCTGAAGCCATAATTAGGCTAACTGGGGTCCACTTCGTGTTAGTGGCCTTACCTGTGGGTCAGGCACCAAGCTGAAAGTCATTGTTGAGCCTCACAAGGCCAAACCTTACAAATGAAAAATAAAGTTTGACTTACCTGCCGTTTGGTCTTTCATATCACTCAATTCCATGGTCATCTTTTATGCCACACTTTAGGTTTGGGACAGACGTTCTCTTAATGTTACCAGACCAAACTGAACCAAACCAAAC